TGGTGGATGTTTGAGACGGCGCGCGTCCTAATTAGCCTGGATCTGGTCATTACACTGGGGCGGCATCTATAAAAAACGTCGCGTTGTAAGCCACACATGTGCACTTACCGTGCATCAGTTACAGAGAAAATAAACCTTGAGAGAGTCAGAACCAGCCGCTCAGGCAGTTCGTAAGGACCCCTCTCATTTCCCGATCTTTAGATGCTACAGGGGTTTGGGCTCTGGGAGTCTCAACCGCTGCCCTGTAGGAATTTCTTCTGAGTGGGGGCCTCAGACAGACAGTTCCATATCAGAGGCCCTGAGACCAAGTTGTGACTCTAATCGCCTGGTAGCTTCTAGTGTGACAAATAACATGGGAAAGCCAGTCTACCTCCTGGCAAAGCCTCCTCTTCCAAGACTACCCTGCATGTCCATCTGGAAATCAGTCATCTTTCTGTCTGCCGATGAGTGATGTTTCCCACTGGTTCCTTGTCCTTAGCTCGCAGTATGCCCTGTGGGATGGGCCCTGGAGAGGCAAAGCCAACCCCCTCCCCCCATTATGATCTGCCTGCAGGGCAAACAACAGCAGGGAGAAAGATGATAAATATCCCAGGATTACAATTGGGTTGGATTGTCCTTCAGATAGCCTGTAAAATGCCAGCAGAGCGCCCCTTCTGTGAGAAGGGATGCATCCTGACTACAAGTCCTAGTTAGCATTGACTGCCACCCTGACACAGCCTCCAGTCAACTTTGAGAGGGATTGCCTAGTCCATTGTCTCAACTGCTGGTTGATGCAGGAGGCCCCAGACCACTGTGGGCGGCACCATTCCCTAGGCACCATTCCCTAGGCAGATGGCTTGAGCCTCCAATCCAGCCAGCAAGCAGCATTCCTTCCTGGGTTCTGCTTCACGTTCATGCTTACGTGCCTTCTCTGGTTCCCTCCATGGTGGACTGTGACCTGAGACAAATCCTTTCCCACCCTGAGTTGATTTTTGTCGGGGAGTTTTACCACAATGGCAGGAAGGAAACTACAACACTGCACAGTGGTCTCCTGAAAGCCCATGGCTAAAGTCAGGCACTGATGTCCTGAGATAGCACCTCTCCCCTGCCCCCATGAGTGCCCCTGCACCTCTGCCCCTCCTCCCTCCTCCCTCCCCCCTCCCCATCACCCGTGAGTGTCCCTCCTCCCTTCGTCTCTGCCCTGACCCCCACTCCCACCCCTCCTCCCTGCACCTCTGCTCCCCCCATTTCCATGAGTGCTCTGCCCCCTTCCCCTCTCCCCATCCTCCACGAATGCCTCTCCTCCCTGCACCTCTGCCACAGAACGTTATTATGTTTCCCAAGCGTCCTCTTTATGCAAAGCGGCCCGCAGCTCCCTGTGCATCTAACTAACTGGAGTAGCTAGGCAGAGACCCACCTGTGTTTCCATTTCCTTCTTCCTGCACTTACGGTGTCCCCAAGTTCATGAGCCACACTTTACATGGAAGCATGATGACTATGAAACACGCTAAGATCTCTCTGTCTCTCTCTGTCTGTCTCTGTCTGTCTCTGTCTGTCTCTGTCTCTGTCTCTCTGTCTCTCTCTGTCTGTCTCTGTGTGTGTGAGTGTGTGTGTGAGTGTGTCTGATGTGTCTGTCTCTGTCTGTCTGTGTGTGTGTGTGTGTGTGAGTGAGTGTGTCTGTCTGATGTCTCTGTCTCTGCCTCTGTCTCTCTCTCTCTCTCTCTCTCTCTCTCTGTGTGTGTGTGTGTGTGTGAGTGAGTGAGTGTGTCTGTCTGATGTCTCTGTCTCTCTCACTCTCTCCTTCTTTGGTCCTTTAGTTCTACTTACAGAATTTGAATCTAGGCCTCTTGCAAATTGATGAGTCAAGAATGAGTTGTCTACCCTCCCCCTTCCATCTGTCTTTCTACCTGACATTCATCTGCTGACCTGACCATCCATCCATCCACCTGACCATCCATCCATCCACCTGACCATCCATCCATCCACCTGACCATCCATCCACCTGACCATCCATCCACCTGACCATCCATCCACCTGACCATCCATCCACCTGACCATCCACCCACCTGACCATCCATCCACCCACCTGACCATCCATCCACCTGACCATCCATTCACCTGACCATCCATTCACCTGACCATCCATCCACCTGACCATCCACCCACCTGACCATCCACCCACCTGACCATCCATCCACCTGACCATCCATCCACTTGACCATCCATCCACCCACCTGACCATCCATCCACCTGACCATCCATTCACCTGACCATCCATCCACCCACCTGACCATCCATCCACCTGACCATCCATCCACCTGACCATCCATCCATCCATCCACCTGACCATCCATCCATCCACCTGACCATCCATTCACCTGACCATCCATTCACCTGACCATCCACCCACCTGACCATCCACCCACCTGACCATCCATCCACCCACCTGACCATCCACCCACCTGACCATCCATCCACCTGACCATCCATCCACCCACCTGACCATCCATCCATCCACCTGACCATCCATCCACCCACCTGACCATCCATCCATCCACCTGACCATCCATCCACCTGACCATCCATCCATCCACCTGACCATCCACCCACCTGACCATCTATCCACCTGACCATCCATCCACCTGACCATCCATCCACCCACCTGACCATCCATCCACCTGACCATCCATCCCCCTGACCATCCGTCCACCTGACCATCCATCCACCTGACCATCCATCCACCTGACCATCCATCCACCTGACCATCCATCCACCCACCTGACCGTCCATCCACCCACCTGACCATCCATCCACCTGACCATCCATCCACCTGACCATCCATCCACCTGACCATCCATCCACCTGACCATCCATCCACCTGACCATCCATCCACCTGACCATCCACCCACCTGACCATCCATCCACCCACCTGACCATCCATCCATCCACCTAACCATCCATCCACCCACCTGACCATCCATCCATCCATCTGACCATCCATCCACCTGACCATCCATCTACCTGACCATCCATCCACCTGACCATCCATCCACCTGACCATCCATCCATCCACCTGACCATCCATCCATCCACCTGACCATCCATCCACCTGACCATCCATCCATCCACCTGACCATCCATCCACCCACCTGACCATCCATCCACCTGACCATCCATCCACCTGACCATCCATCCACCCACCTGACCATCCATCCACCTGACCATCCATTCACCTGACCATCCATCCACCTGACCATCCATTCACCTGACCATCCATCCACCTGACCATCCATCCATCCACCTGACCATCCATCCATCCACCTGACCATCCACCCACCTGACCATCCATCCACCTGACCATCCATCCACCTGACCATCCATCCACCTGACCATCCATCCACCCACCTGACCATCCATTCACCTGACCATCCATCCACCTGACCATCCATCCACCCACCTGACCATCCACCCACCTGACCATCCACCCACCTGACCATCCATTCACCTGACCATCCATCCACCTGACCATCCATCCACCTGACCATCCATCCACCCACCTGACCATCCATCCACCTGACCATCCATCCACCTGACCATCCATCCATCCACCTGACCATCCATCCACCCACCTGACCATCCATCCACCTGACCATCCATTCACCTGACCATCCATTCACCTGACCATCCATCCACCTGACCATCCATCCACCCACCTGACCATCCATCCACCTGACCATCCATCCACCCACCTGACCATCCATCCACCTGACCATCCATTCACCTGACCATCCATTCACCTGACCATCCATTCACCTGACCATCCATCCACCCACCTGACCATCCATCCACCTGACCATCCATCCACCTGACCATCCATCCATCCACCTGACCATCCATCCACCCACCTGACCATCCATCCACCTGACCATCCATCCACCTGACCATCCATCCATCCACCTGACCATCCATCCACCCACCTGACCATCCATCCACCTGACCATCCATCCACCTGACCATCCATCCATCCACCTGACCATCCATCCATCCACCTGACCATCCATCCACCTGACCATCCATCCACCTGACCATCCATCCACCCACCTGACCATCCACCCACCTGACCATCCACCCACCTGACCATCCATTCACCTGACCATCCATCCACCTGACCATCCATCCACCTGACCATCCATCCACCCACCTGACCATCCATTCACCTGACCATCCATTCACCCACCTGACCATCCATCCATCCACCTGACCATCCATTCACCTGACCATCCATTCACCTGACCATCCATCCACCTGACCATCCATCCACCCACCTGACCATCCATTCACCTGACCATCCATTCACCTGACCATCCATCCACCCACCTGACCATCCATCCACCTGACCATCCATTCACCTGACCATCCATTCACCTGACCATCCATTCACCTGACCATCCATCCACCCACCTGACCATCCATCCACCTGACCATCCATCCACCTGACCATCCATTCACCTGACCATCCATCCACCTGACCATCCATCCACCCACCTGACCATCCATCCACCTGACCATCCATCCACCTGACCATCCATCCACCCACCTGACCATCCACCCACCCACCATCCATCCACCTGACCATCCATCCACCCACCTGACCATCCACCCACCTGACCATCCATCCACCTGACCATCCATCCACCTGACCATCCATTCACCTGACCATCCATCCACCCACCTGACCATCCATCCACCTGACCATCCACCCATCCATCCACCCATCCACCCACCCACCCACACACACATACATACATACATCTATCCATCCCTTACTTTCTGGCTGGTTCTGGCTAGCATGACTTTTTTGCACCTTTGAATGGCCTTTTCCCATCCTTTTCTTTAGCTATCAGGTTAGAATAGAGTTTGTTCGCTTTTCCCTCTTCCCAAGGCACGATACCAGATGACCACATGACCGTAAAGGATAGCCCTAAAACACATGCTATGCGTTTCTCTTTTCCCTCTGCAGTCGAATTCTTGCCGCCAGAATGGGGAAACAGAACAGCAAGCTGCGCCCTGAAGTCATGCAGGACTTGCTGGAGAGCACAGACTTCACCGAGCACGAGATCCAAGAGTGGTACAAAGGCTTCTTGAGAGACTGCCCCAGTGGACATTTGTCAATGGAGGAGTTTAAGAAAATATATGGGAACTTTTTCCCTTACGGGGATGCTTCCAAATTTGCCGAGCACGTCTTCCGCACCTTCGATGCAAACGGGGATGGGACAATAGACTTTAGAGAGTTCATCATCGCCCTGAGTGTAACGTCGCGGGGCAAGCTGGAGCAGAAGCTGAAGTGGGCCTTCAGCATGTATGACCTGGATGGCAATGGCTACATCAGCAAGGCGGAGATGCTGGAGATTGTACAGGTAGGACCCCCGGCCCGTCAGAGAGAATGACCCAAACGGCACCCAGGGGAGCGTGGGACCGAGTTTATAAGCTGATGTGTTCAGGAAAGAAGCTGTCCCCCCGCTTTGGATTGTGGTTTGGAAGAGGAAGCGGGGACAAATTCAGGGACACGTGGAGGGTGACAGTAGACACCTGGACCCCTTGGGTGGGGGAGGGGGGCTTCCACCATGCTCGGTACGGAACACAGAGCCTGGTAAGTCAGGCAAGCTCCTCACTGTAAAGTGCCCCCAGCCCTCCCCAGGCCTTTGTAAGTGTCCAAGTCTGCGCCGTAGGAACACACACGCCTTCAGACACGCCTATGTAACCCGGCCGATGGAAGACTGGGATATCCTCATCCGTTTTACACACCCCATACCCTGATGGTTAATATTCACGATCGCACATGCCACAGGCACCCTGGAGAGTGACTTCAGACCATCAAAGAGGTTAAAGAATTTCAAGCCATTCTCGTACCAGCGGCTTCTTTGCAAGCTGACAGCTCTCACATGCTGATCCCCATTTCCTATTATTCGGGATGAACTGGAATTCAGTGTGGGGGTCTCACCTGGCTGCACATTTTTTTCAGTCTTCTGTTCCCTCCCCTTTTGAAGGCCCTGTCACTGCCACAGGAAGCCCCTTGTGGGGATGTTCTTGGCTCTGTCCTAGCCAGTGGCCTGCACCATTCAGGAAAACATGCATCGACTTACTCAAAGCGGCCTCTGGCTGCGGCATCTCAGTGTTGAGCTTGGGTAAACAGCTGTGAGGTGGAGCCAGCTGTGGCCCAGGAGCACCATAAACTCGGGGTCTAAATTTTAATGTGAGGACCGGGCGTTGGTGGCATACGCCTTTAATCCCAGCACTCCGGAGGCAGAGGCAGGCGGATCTCGGTAAGTTCGAAACCAGCCTGACTACCAAGGGAGTTCCAGGACAGCCTCCAAAGCCACAGAGAAACCCTGTCTTGAAAAAAAACCAAAAAAAATTTTTAATGTGACACTTATAGTTTTAATAATACACCTTGCATGTAGCTTCCTTCAAGCCAGTTAGTGGGGGAGGGGTGTGAATTTATGATCATTTACAAACCCTGACAACTGGCCAGGGTGTAGACCAGAAGGAAAAGGAATCTGTAATTGGACTTTGCATGGATGGGGAGGCAGAGATGTCGTCCAGAAATCATCCATTTTCTGTACTCAGATATTTCCTGGGGCTTCGTCTGGGTAGTCACAGCACAGCATTCATGACAAAAAGCTAGACTTTGTTTGTACTTCCTGAGATGGGTTAGAAAGACTAGCGTGTACCACACTGCCATGAATCCTGTGTGGCGCTGAAGAGGCCTCCTATGACTACCACGGCAAGGAGCGTCAAACCTCACGGCTTACAGGCCCACAATCTATCATCTTATGATTCCGGCAGTCTGGCCTCAGTTTCGCTGGACTAAAATTAAGGTGTCCTGGGGGCTGCGTCCCATTCCGGAGCCATTTGGAGAAAAGATTTTCTTCTCCTCCCTGGTCTCTGGAAGATGCTCACATACCCCGGGCATGTGTCCCGGCTCACGCACCGTCAAAGTCAGCTGTGGCAAACCCGTGTGGCTGGGGCTGCCACTCTGCTTTTCTTGTCCACTCATGCATGCGTTCACGCAGTTACGAATACGAACGTCCACTCATGCATTCATTCACGCAGCTATGAACGTCCACTCATGCATTCATTCACGCAGTTACGAACGTCCACACATGCATTCATTCACGCAGTTACGAATACGAACGTCCACTCATGCATTCATTCACGCAGTTATGAACGTCCACTCATGCATTCATTCACGCAGTTATGAACGTCCACACATGCATTCATTCACGCAGAATACGAATATGAACAAGCAGCCTCTTGTGGTTTTGCTGGGGCCATGAGTGGGGTCAAAGGGCATCCTCCCATCTCCACATCTGAGATTCAACCCGTTGTGTGAAATCTCTTTACTATGTAATATAAAATGGCTCCAGGTTCCAAGGTTAGGGCAGGGGCATACATGGGGGAGCATTACTCTGCTGAAGTATAGTTGTGACTGTTTTTAAAGAAAACTATTAATTTTCACTCTATATTTTTTAATTTTTTATAAATTTTATTTAAATTAGAAACAATCTTATTTTACATATCAATCCCAGTTCCCTCTCCCTCCCGTCCTCCCATGTCCCCCACCAACCCCCATCCCATCCCCCATCCACTCCCCAGGGAGGTTAAGGTCTTCCATGAGGGATCATCAAAATCTGTCAAGTCATTTGGGACATGGCCTAAGCTCTTCTCTGTGTATCTAGGCTAAGAGAGTATCCCTCCATGGGGAATGGGCTCCTGAAATCTGTTCATGCCCCATAGACTGCCCAGTGCTTCTAACTGACACCCATTTTCAAAGGGTCTGGTTTGGTCCTATGTTGGTTCCCCAGCTGTCAGACTGGGGTCCATGAGCTCCCACTTGCTCAAGTCAACTGTTTCTGTGAGTTTGCCCAGCATGGTCTTGACCCCTTTGTTCATCACTCCTCCCTCTCTATAACTGGACTTCAGGAGTTCGGCTCAGTGTTTAGCTGTGAGTCTCTGCTTCTGCTTCCATCAGCTACTGGATGAAGGCTCTAGGATGGCATTTAAGGTAGTCATCAATCTCATTGCAGGGGAAGGGCATTTAAGGTAGCCTCTCCACTATTGCTTAGATTCCTAGTTAGGGTCATCCTTGTGGATCTCTGGACAATTCCCTAGTGCCAGATTTCTCTTTAAACCTATAGTGGCTCCCTCTATTGATGTCTCTTTTCTTGCTCTCCTCCATTCCTCTCCCCACTCAAGCTTCCTGATCCCTCATGTTCTCCTCCCCCTCCTCTACTCCCCTCCAATTTCTCCTACTGCCTCCCCTCCCCCATGCTCCCAATTTGTTCAGGAGCTCTAGTCCCTTTCCTCATCTCTGAAAGACCATGCATGTCTTTCTTAGGGTCCTCCTGGTTTCCTAGCTTCTCTGGAGGTGTGGATTGTAGGCTGGTAATCTTTTACCCTATGTCTAATATCCATATATGAGTGAGCACATACCATGTTTGTCTTTCTGTGACTGGGTTACCTCACTTCTTCTAGTTCCATCCATTTGCCTGCAACTTCAAGATTCCATTGTTTTGGGGGTTTTTTTTTGTTGTTGTTGTTGTTGTTCTGCTGAATAGTACTCCATTGTGTAAATGTACCACATTTTTTTAGCCATTCTTCAGTTGAGGGTTGCTTCCAGGTTCTGGCTATTACAAATAATAACACTATGAACACAGTTGAACAGATCTCCTTGTTGTATGAGTGTGTATCCTTTGGGTATATACCTAAGAGTGGACTTGCTGGATCTTGAGGTAGATGAATTCCCATTTCTGAAGAAACCACCATACTGATTTCCAAAGTGACTGTACGAGTTGGCACTCCCACCAGCAGTGGAGAGTGTTCCCCTTTCTCCATATCCTCTCCAGCATAGACTGTCATTGATGTTTTTTATTTTAGCCATTCTGACAGGTGTGAGATGGTATCTGGAATTGTTTTGATTTGCATTTCCTTGATGGCTAGGATGTTGAGCACTTTCTTAAGTGTCTCTCAGCCATTTTAGACTCCTCTATTGAAAATTTCCTATTTAGTTCTGCACCCACTTTTTAATTGAATCCTTTGGTGTTTTGGTAACTAGCTTCTTGAGTTTTTTGTATATTTTGGAAATCAGCCCTCTGTCAGATGTGGGGTTAGTGAATATCTTTTCCAATTCTGTGGACTGGTTAGTCTTGTTGATTATGTCCTTTGCCTTACAGAAGCTTCTCAGTTTCAGGAGGTCTCATTTATTAATTTTCAATCTCAGTGTCTGTGCTACTGGCATTATGTTCAGGAAGCAGTCTCCTGTACCAATTCGTTCAAGGGTACCTCCAACTTTCTCTTCTAAGAGGTTCAGTGTGACTGGATTTATGTTGAGGTCTTTGATCCATTTGGACTTAAGTTTTGTGCATGGCGATTGGTATGGATCTATCTGCAATCTTCTACATGTCAGCATCCAGTTATGCCAGCACCATTTGTTGAAGATGCTTTCTTTTTTCCATTGTATAGATTTAGATTCTTTGTCAAAAATCAGGTGTTTGTAAGTGTGTGGGTTAATATCAGAGTCTTCAATTCGATTCCATTGTTCTACCTGTCTGTTTTTGTGCCAATACCAAGTTGTTTTCATTACTATAGCTCTATAGTAGAGCTTGAAGTCAGGGATGGTGATGCCTCCAGAAGTTCCTTTATTGTACAGGGTTTTTTGGCTATCCTGAGGTTTTTGTTTTTTTGTATAAAGTTGATTATTGCCCTTTCAAGGTCTGTGAAGACTTGTACTGGGATTTGATAGGGATTGCATTGAATCTGTAGATTGCTTTTGGTAAGATTGTTGATCCTACCTATCCAAGAGCATGGGAGATCTTTCCATTTTCTGGCATCTTCTTTAATTTCTTTAAAGACTCAAAGCTCTTTTCATACAGGTCTTTCACCTGTTTGGGTAGAGTTACCCCAAGATATTTTATGTTGTTTGTGGCTATTATAAAGGGTGATGTTTCTCTGATTTCTTTCTCAGTCCCTTTATTGTCTATATATAGTAGGGCTACTGAGTTTTTTTAGTTAATCTTGTATCCTACCACTTTGCTGAAGGTGTTTATCGGCTGTAGGAGTTCCCTGGTAGAATTTTTTGGGTGACTTATGTAAACTATCATATCATCTGCAAATAGTGACAGTTTGACTTCTTCCTTTCCAATTTGTATCCCCTTGATCTCCTTTTGTTGTCTTATTGCACTAGCAAGAACTCCAAGTACAATATTGAAGAGATATGGAGAGAGTGGACAGCCTTGTCTTGTTCCTGATTTTAGAGGAATTGCCTTGAGTTTCTCTCCATTTAGTTTGATGTTGGCTGTCAGTTTGCTGTATATTGCCTTTATTATGCTTAGATATGTTCCTGTTATCCCTGATCTCT